GTTGATCCTTGTCGGACAGGACACACTGACTGTATATTCAACAGAGGTAGAAAAGAAGTTGTAAAAGCACTCGTTGGTATAAGTCGCCCTGCTCGGACTGCAGTTCACACAGATAATGAGAATATAGTGAGTGTGTTTCTGAACCTGAAAAGCTCCTTGTAAAGTGAACCTGTGAGCCATCCATTATTCATCGTGATCAAGCGTTGCCATGACTCTCTGTCTACTTGGGAGGACCTTACAAGTTTGGCACGACTCCTTGAGTGTCTGTTTCTGCTGCCAAGTGTTTCTCCAACGGCCTGAAAAAAATATGGCAGCCTCAGAGATACATACAATGTTTGTTACAGAGACGCACGGGGAATAACAGATGTGCTACTGCCACCTCATGGCAAATTTACAGTCAATGCAAGAGACTCTGAGAGTGACTGAGAGAGGATGTTTTTTGGCAAGCTTGATGGATAATGTGCTTCACTGATTAGTCACAACAACAGTTTAAGACCATTGTTCATGCAAAACTTTTTCATATTACTAAAACAACACATTAGGAGTAATTTGATCAGATGTTGAAATATCAAACATGACTTGACGGAGCTTTAACCATTTGTTATTTCCATGTTACAAAAAGGTGGAAATGACTCTTTCCCGAGGTGTTATTAACATGAACTAATTTTCTTAGTTTTGTGTTGGATGTGAATAATCACTGCTGTGAAAGACAAGATTATAACTGTTTGGATAACAGTAAATGCCATTTTGATAATTTTAATGGAAGAAAGAAAACAGCTACCATGAAAATGCTGAAGTGACATTTAGTATTTGTCTCGTCTGTCTCCAGGAAGAAAGTTATGAAACGGTTCAGCAGGCTGACTTCAATAGAGACGTACGCCAGTGATTAATGTCACACTTCCATTAAGCTTTGGGGCTCACAACAGATTAAAACAAGAAAGAGAGTCTGCAGCTACAATAGCGTCTCTGTGAAGCTACACAAAACATATAAATAAAATATGTTATATTCTCTATTACTATTGTGGTGCTTTTAGCTATGTCAGCATGCTAACATGCTCATAGTCATAATCCAGCAGCAAGTGTACCACATTTACTAATTAGCACTTGCAGTAGAGGCTCATGGGACTGTCATTTGTGGGGAGCCTGAGGGGCCGGGGGGGGGTCTGTATCAAATTTCATTGTTGAGATATTTTAATGTGGACCAAAGTGGTGGACTACATGTTAGCATGCTGAACTGATTAGCACACCAATTAGCACAAAGTACCCCCACCGCTATGGATAAATGGTATGTGGTAAATGTGTAACAGCAGCACAGGTAGAGTCATAAAGTTTGGTATGGTGTCTCAGTAAGGTCAGTAACACTGCAATGATAAACAGCTATTATAAACAACCACTGCTAATACCAGACCACATGAGGCTGTAAAGCAGCAATGTGTTTGAATTCAGCTTCTCATTTGGAGAGTAAGAATGTGTTATTTCTTCTTTCAAAAGTGAAATAGTTTTGGTTTTAAAGTCAGTGATTCAGAGTTCTTAAGATCAACGTGTCTTTCACACACCAGAGCTGCACTCACTGGTTTATAGGGAGCTTTAAAAGGAAGAACACATCCATCTTTGTGTTTTGCTCACAGTCGGAGATCTCACAAATGGACTTCCAGATGCTCAAAATAACTTTAATCCAACAATAAAGTTGACGATGTTCAGCTGATTTGCAGTCGAACAGCTGCTCTTTGCGCATGTTGTTTTGTTACTGAGGAGATCCAGACCTTCGTAAAATGTGCAGTGCAAGAGTCTGATAGCAGTGGTGTAATTCTATCCTGCATTAGCAGGTGGTTAAAAAATATTACCTTCCTCATCAAGGGACTGTTTAGTTTTTCAAAACTAGGATAGTGCAATGTGGTAGTTGAGGTTTTTATATGTTATAGTTTCACAACTGAGGATTTAGCTTGGCTCTTGTGTGATCCAATTTCAGGCTTTTCCATTTCCTGTGTGTGTTCTCAGTGGCTATAAAACCAGTCATCCTTCTTCTCTGCCTTTGTCATGTGCAGCATATCCCCCCCGTTCCCATTTATAATTAGTATCTGGTCTCATTCTCCCCTTTTCAAACACAATAAAGCACATCTGTTTATTTCTCACTCTGATCTCAGTGCCCTAATTTCTTCTCTTCCTTCTCTGTTGTTTCTCTCACTCCGGCTCTGCTGGAACACGGTGGCACTTTTTAGCTCATTCACCAGGATGTCTTTCATCTGCCTTATCAGACGCCTTCAGAAATTCAACCACCCTAGGACTTTAGCATAGTTTACACAGTGGGAACAACTCAGTCTAGAGCTTATTGATTAAGTTTCCAAAGTAAATGCCATTACACAATGGTTCTGTGATTCTGAATAATGTTGCCCCCTTAAGAAGAATCATCAACCTACAGCTTGTTGTAGACAGAGAATTTGGAAATTACCTGAACAAAGAAACAGTTTTAGATTTTGTTTGTTTTTTGCATGTTTTCAGCCAGAAGCATGGCCTTAGGAACAGTAATGTCGATCCATCTGTTGGTTCGCCACTTGATTCCAGACTGACAGCTATTGGATGAATTACCATGAAAATTTGTACAAACATTCATGGTCCCCACAGGAAAAACCCTACAGACTTTGGCAATCCCCTGACATTTCTATCTCTAACATAATGTAGATATTGAAGTTTGAGAAGCTGAGTTTAGTGAAATATCTTAATAACTATTAACTTACATGAAATATGGACATTCAAGGTGCCCAGAAGATGAATATTAATGACTTAATAAAAGGTTTCACTTTTCCTCAACATCTACGAGATTGATTTGCACAAACATTCATGGTGATGGATCCTAATGAACATTGAGTCAGTGACTCTGTCATTGTCTGTTGTATTTAGATTTATCAGTGTGAAATCAATCTATTATCTATTATCTGTTAAATCAGTCTTTTGAATGATCCTAATCACTCACAACAAGTGTCACCTAAAAATGATTTTGCATGTAGTGACTTCTTATTGGAGGAGTTAAACAATGATGCCTCTGTGCATGCATCAGTGTTTATTCATTATTCCAATGAGTTTGCGCAGTGCAGTGGCACTTGTGCAGCATCAGCCACTTTCCTTTGAATATGGTTATGGGTTGTGTGTAAATTGATACAGATGATATGTAAAATGGCTTACCATGCCTGTTTTTAAGCAATGCCAGCCATTCCTACTGGTGTCATGCTATAAACTGAGCCTATCTGGCAGCTGCAAGCGCTTTCATCTCCAGGAAACAGTCCTCCTGACAGTCTCTCAGTGGTGCTTCTTGGGTGTGTTGTCATCTGAAGCCCTCGCCTCCCAGAGACGACGCAGGGCAGCCGTCACCAGCTCATTCCTGGAGGTCAGCTGTGTGACATCTGGCAGGACAGTCTGTCCGACACAAAGTGATACCGCTGGAGGTTTAGGTTTTTAGTTTGGTGTAGGCCTCACTAGAATCAGGTTTGGGTATTCAGCTATCACACGGCACAGATGACAGGACATCTGCCTGTTTGCATCATTTTGTTATAAAAAACAAATCCACCAAAGGTTGCAGCCAGTCGACATGAGGAATTCCCGTATCTTAAGGAAATAGTTTGACATTTTGAGAAATAGACTTACCGGTATTTCCTTCCCTGCATAGTTAGATGAGGAGGTTGGTACCACTTTAACCACCAGCAGTCAGTTAGCTTAGCTTAACAGTTAGCATGACTCTACCCAAAGGTTAGAAAAGTCCACCAGCACTTCTAAAGCTCACCAATTAGCAGTTTATTACTTTTTATTACTTATGTCAACCTTGCATTGACAATAAGACTAAAATTCACTGCGACCAACCAGAAAAAAAGAACAACTAAAGAATAACCCCCCATAACGTGTCGTTTTTACACGACACACCATATTAAGATAAGCTAACTGCCAACTAGAGTTAGCTTCTTAAACACTGTATAGGTACAAGAGTAGTATTGACCTTCTCATCTAAATCTCAGCTGGAAAGCAAAATATTTACCGTATTTACCAACATTTTTAACTATTTGTAAGGACTTTTAAGGATTATGGTTATGTCAGCTCCTGCCTTTTGTAATTCGGTTGTCTTATATGTCCCCAAAAGACTTCTTGAAATGACAATAATTTCTTAAAGTGACTGAATTACTGATGTGCTGTAAACCAAAGGAACATCTTGTTCATGACTACTGTGCAGAATGACTCCATCATTACAGATTCACAGTTCAAGTTTGTGGTAGTTATTTGTTAAATAAAGCATACAAGGTATGCTATTGTCTTTCTGTAAGGTTTTATTCAAGTCATCTATGTATGGAGAGCCAAGATTGGAAGAAGCAGTATGGTTTTATCCCTGTTGGAGTGTCACTCTAACACAGTTACACATTCCTGAGTTCTGGGACAGTAAACAGACAGATAGTGTGGTGCGATGATCATGTCCTTGGCTTCTTAGTGAAGTCTCAACATCCCACTGTTTACTTGGACATAGACTGTAGTTAGAAACAGGGCTAAAGGTTATATGCATATAATAGCCTCTTTAACAGTTGCGTATGGTTTTACAATGACCAGGCCAAAGGCTTGTGTAGGTTCTGAAAAATTGTCATTATAAATTAAAATGTTCATTTCTTGAGCTCTTTGGTTAGAATACAGAGGATTTCTAAACATAAAATATTTCAGTGTGGATCATTTATTTGTTCTTCCAGTCTGATCAGAATATTAGCTTAAAGTTTTAGGTTTGAGGCCAAATTCACAATCATGTCTTTGTTTTACCTGTGTTGTACTACTCTGTACAAATCCCTGAGCTTTTAACAAGATTGAAAGACACTAAATAAATTTTTTTTAGTACTGTCTGTCCAAACTGCCTTAAAAAGCATGCCTAAGTAACCTACATGACTGAAAGACACACAGTTACCAATTATGGTGGTTGATGTGTTCACATTTCCTCTTTGGCCTGAATAGAAAGTTAATCATCCATTGGATGATTTCAAAAGACTACAGACATGACAACGGCCAGACTCGGGCACTATGGCACAGTACCTAACACTCCTGGTAGGTAGAATTTTAAATGATTTTGTCTGTCTAGCTCACATTATTTTTTCTTTTAGGATGAAAATTTGGAATAAGCTCTATTAAATGAAAAATTTACCCAAATACAGCATTCAATTAAATAATCTGAGAGATTTGCTGTAGCTTGCAGAAACAACATAAATAATTCAACATGGATAATGACAAATGTAAGCTCTGGGAAATGTATTCATGGAAAAGTAAAATGTGACGATGTTTGACATCAAGTAAAATGTACTCAAATCTGTCATTATAACTGCTCATGTGTTTAATTTCTGCAGCTAGAATGTCCTGTTGTAATCGCTGCCATTTTTGTCGCTGGCATTGGTGGGACATTTCAATATGGATTCAGTGTATCTGTGATGACTTCACCGTCTGCTGTAAGTAGAACTACAAAAACCTTTTCCACATCAGCTACAAAGACCTGATACAGATGATAAAACTTGCATTATGCTGGCCTTACTAAACTGAAAAACAATACATGTGATAATTGCAGTTTATAAAGGAGCTGGTGAACAAAACATGTCTGCAGAGATATAACGTCTCCTTGGAGCAGTGGCAGGTTTCTCTCATCTGGTCCTTCACTGTGTCCATTTTCTGCATCGGGGGGTTACTGGGGTCACTGGTGGCTGGTCCACTGATCACAAAATTTGGGAGGTTAGTGTAAACAGAAGAGAGACAACTTCAATTAATGTAGCTCCCCCAAAGACAAACAAAATGTATCTTTTGTTTCCTGTTTTTTAAACGATGGCTTCAGCCTTTAACACAGCAGTTTCTGTCTCCCTTTCCCCACAGAAAGCAATGCCTTTTGTTAAACAATTTTGTGGCAATAATTGCAGCTGTGTTGATGCTCTTGAGCCAAACAGCAATGTCCTTTGAGATGATCATGGTGGGACGATTTCTCTATGGCATCAATTCAGGTGAACCTACTGTATGAGGAAGCCCATTACATCTCTCTTCTTTAATTTCTTCATAGATGGCTGCTCCATCACTCTTGGCTCTCTATTTAACCCTACAGACAATCGATTTCTATTTATACTTGTCACTATTATATTGCTAAGTTCCCTAGGCCATTTGTCACCCAGTTATTGATCATTATTGACTTTTCTCAAAATGTATGATTCCCTTGTGTACGCCTCTAGGAGTCAGTCTTTCAGCTCACACCATGTACCTTGTTGAATGCGCCCCCAAGAGGCTGCGGGGGATGGTTGGTGTGACCATCGCTACCTTCATCTCCTTGGGGAAGTTCTGTGGTCAGCTGCTGGGGATCAGGTGAGGTGGCCAGTGTCATAGATACTGAGCAGTCAGGTGGTGGTAGGTTCAGATGACAGCTCACATGTGGACAGAACTCTCCTCAAGACCCATGGTGCTCCTCTCTGTGGGGCTGGTTTGGACAAAATCTTAACTATTCGTCATCAGGCCAAAGTTTAATGTGTCCAATACATTCACAATCTTCCCATCAGCCTCACCTGTATTCTGTGTTTAGTGCTAATTAGCAAAACATAGCATGATAACACTATTCTGCTCTTGCTTTGTACAGGTTAGCTTAGCAAACAGATAACATTAAATCCTTGAGTTTAGCGCTTTTAGTTGGGTTCTTTTCTCTTTTTTCTTTGTAAAACCATAAATATTATGACATTACTCTTCCCATATACATATGCATCAATATACAACACAGCATTTATCTCTTCAACATAAATGTTAGATTCCATAATTGAAAATACACAGAGAATATATCAAAGTACACATCAGTACACAAAAATACTCCAAACCTTTTCTACAAACAGTGTAGTGAAAACTACAACAGAGTCAGAAACAAAGTGGACTAACTACGGCACAAAAAGAGGGTTAAACATAAGAACAAAATGCAATACACTTTTACACCACTAGGTGTCCCTTATGCAACACACACAACACAACACACACAAAAACTGTGGGGGCAGAACAAACATGCTAACCTAAGAAAGTGAACATATACCTACTAAAAGTCAACGTGTTAGCATTGCCATTGTTAGCATGTTAGCATACCGAAGCTAGAATTTAAATCTAAAATC